TCCTCATTCATATAGCTTGATCTTGATGTAACAATCCACAACCTAATGTAATTCTCAAGACTTGGTAGTCAGATTTAAACCTAAAGCATCTGCAGTGAGACATGGAGTTGGTAGGACATACATGGGCTTCCCCATACATCTAGAGATGCTATAAGAATGTATAGGCACTGTGCATAGCCCGACGCAAGAAGCTGAAGTGGGCAGCGTTTGCAGTGCCACGTGCCTGCCCACTGTCCAGTTCGGGCCGGTGATCCTACTGTCATTCATTCCGAAATCCAGATCCATGTCTGCAAAATGGGGAGTGGGGCCCAAAGTGCCAGGTTGTGTTAGTTCTTTTATTCCCTTTCCCTTAGTATGCTAAGATTGAATGAACCTGTTGATATCCTTGTTAATAAAAAGCTGGAAGACGATTTTAGGGTTGTAAACCCAGAAAAGCCTGTATTATGTTAACGTGTGCCCTCCTGGCCTTTGAGGCTGTGCACCGAAGGGGGCAGGAGCAGGCTGTTTTACTGTAAGGGGTGGGGTCCTTACTGTAAACGAGATGTCAATCGAAAAGCAAATAATATAAAGACATGTGTTCCGTGCTACTTGGGCGCACTTGAAGACTTTTGTTCCGTTCTGTATAACTTGAGCAAGTAATTTGAAGTGTGATCTTGTATGTGTGTGTGAAGTTGCTACTATGATTTTTTTACCCTATTTATTTGAGTTACTAAATAAAGATGTTTGTCCAAGATTGTGGGAATTTTATATCGAATTTTCTAAGTGCTGCTCACCCTGCCACCAATACCATTTTCGTTTTATTTTGAAAGTCTGCAAACTAGTTTATTAACCCATTTTACAGAACCAGGATGGTCTCAAGTTGGGGGCCAGAGCTTTGGGAGCAGAAAAAGATACTCAGCTAGAAATCTAGGAGGCATCTCAGCCACGCTCATCGGAGAGACCCAAACACGTATTGTTTTACGTAGTTTGCTCTGCCCTCAATGACCGGGTAGCACAGAGGGCTGTGACACCAGGGGCCGGAACAGCAGCAGGGAGTTCTAGGGTAGAGACCAGCGGGTCCTGGCCGGGCCACACAGCAGTGCCCTGCAGTCAGCAGCCCTTTTCTCTGGCCCGGGAGGGAGAGACGGGAATATGTAGCAAGAGCCCTGCATGAGTACCTTACTGTGATTAAGTACCAAGTTTCATGTAGGCCTGCATCTTTGAAGGTACTCGAAGGCGAGTCCAGTGCTGAGCACAGGAGCTGGTGGGTGGGCTGCATAGGAAAGCATGCTGGGCACACATGTGTCGGGGGAAGCAGCCCTGGGCACGGGGATTGGACAGAACCAGGACCGGCGAGTTGGTCAAGCATAGACCTGGTAGTAGGTGATGTTACTGAAGGTTCTGGAATACCAGAGCAGTGGAGGGACATCAGTAGCACCCTGTGCATTTGCTGGGGCTCATGCTTCCCCACGGGTGTCAGGCTCCACTGAGCACAGGTGTTAAATATGTAATCATTACTTCCAAAGAGATCCAAATAAAATGCACCAATCTGGTTTTGTCTTTTGTTTCCTGAAAGGCTGCACAGTTGCCCCACTGGCCACAAATGCAGAAACCACTGATCCATGCTCTGCCCAATACACCCATGTTCTTTTTCTCCAGTCACAACAGTACCTCGCCGTTGTGACTGGAAAAACGTCTCAGAACCCATGGGTCCATTTTCCTACTTCACACAGCTCTGTTCCACAAGCCACTGGTGTGTGAGAACTGGCGTCAGGGTCATAGGACAGTGAAAGCTTACACAGTTCTTATAGAAACGCAAAGCAGGGTTTTCTTCAACTTCAACTAGGGAATTTTTCACCAGAGTGAAGGAGGTGATAAAACTGGAAGTAGCCCATTGATGAGGTACCTTTCCATCTTCCACACAGCTTCCTGAAATGGTTCTCGGTCAAAAGTACATTTGTCCATTCTCTGAGGTCACTAGCTGGTCTTTAACACTTTAACTTGGTCTATACGTTCACAGTTCACAGACAGCGTGGAAACAGTCTCAGATGGCCCGAACGCTGAGTGGCAAACACAGCGCTGTAACAGGCCCCTCCCTGAACCAGTTCTGCTCGCTTTGGGGGCCCGCAGCTATTGCCACCACTCCCTTATCACCTGCTTTGATCCCCAACTCTTGTTTTTCCCATATTTTTCATCTTTGTATAGGTAAGGCCAGCCCATTAAAGCGTCTTTTTTTCTTCTTCAAAAGAATCAGATTTTCAGCGATTGCCGCTGGTTCAACTGAACGACAAAGCTATGTAGTCAGGTTTTGTTCTTAATCACACTCCAGTATCGTGTTTGGCATATTAAGCCTTGTTCCCCAGGTTCCCTTTAAGTCGTGGTGTGAAGGATTCCTTTCCTGTTCACATGAAGACCTGTTCCTTTGATCATTTTAGCTCAACACTAGACCTCTAGAATGCCAACTAATTTCATCCTTAAATATTTATCTGAAAATGCAGTATTTGAAAAGATGCTTAAAAGCTTAAAAATACACTAGGGTATTAAATCTGTACAAGTATCAAAATTACACATTTTGTAAATACCTAAACACGTTATGGGCCAAATTGTTCCCCTACCCCCCAAATTTGCCATAGGGGAATGTGGCTGTATTTGGAGATGGGGCCTTCAGAGAGGTAATTTAAGTTAAAATGAGCCTGTTTGGGTGGGCCTGATCCAATCTGGTGTCCTTAGAAGAGGAAGATTGGATAGAGATGGGAGGGGGGTGGTGACAACATGGGGAAAGGTCATTGGGAAGCCATGGGAGACCTCAGGAGGAACTAAACCTCCCCACACCCTGACCTGGGACTCTGCCTCCAGCACTGTGAGAAAAGAAATTCCCATTGCCGAAGCCATACAATCTGCATTTTATGACAACAGCCTAGCAAACTAATACAATATGCTTTCCTTATGCATTAAATGTCTAGGTCAGGAGTAGGGAACTCTTGGCCCATGGGCCATAGCAAAATCATTTGGTCTGGCCTTACCAAGGCATTAGGGGTGAGTTAATGAAATGTTTGACCAAATACAGCGGGCTAATTTTTAAGTTGATAATTGTGTATGGCCCATGAATGATGCTATAAATATTTAAGTGGCCCTTGACAGAAAACAGGTTCCCCATCCCGGATCTAGATGGACACACCCAAAAACACATGTGGCTGCCACCAGGGACAGGAACTAGGTGGCAAAGGTAGATATGTCCCTTGGCCCTAGGATCTTAGCCATGTGATTCCTAGAATGCTTCACTGTTGCCCCCACTTTTCATGTATGCAGAGAAATTGACCAAGGTGTGGGAAATTCATGTATGCAGAAAAATTGACCAAGGTGTGAGAAACTAGCACTTCCATGCACTACTGCTCCATATCTATCAAGAGAGAAGGATTTGAATAGGTATTAGATATCCATATGGCAAATAAATGAGAGGGGTCTACTATAATGTAAATATGTCCAGACATATTAAGAGAAAAAGAGCAAGTCACAAAACAATGGGTACACTTTTAAAAAACAAAAGCAAGCCCAGCTGGCGTGGCTCAGTGATTGAGCATCAATCCATGAACCTGGAGGTCAGGGTTTGATTCTTGGTCAGGGCACATGCTCAGGTTGCAAGGTCGAACTTCAGTGTGGGGCGTACAGGAGGCAGCTGATCCATGATTCTCATCATTGATGTTTCTACCTCTCCCTCTCTTTACCTCTCTGAAACCAGTAAAAAAAATTGTTTTTTGGATGGAGGATTGATGTGTTGTTTTTTTTCTGGGGGGAGATGGGGAGTGATTATAAATAATAAACACTAGAATTTCCTCCAATATGAAGAGATTTAATTTCCCCAAATTAAAAATGTTACATTTTCCTTACAGCCAAATTGTTAAGAAATAAGACTTTCAAACGCTTAGCTTGCTGTAATGGCACTCATTTTCAGTAGTTTCAAAGGAGTAGAGGCAGGGAAAGAAATATGGCCATTTAGTTTCTCAAAACGTACCCCGGCCCCAAGCATGTCCTTTGATAACCCGCTGCTCCACGGCCAGGGTTCCGTCTTCACTGACACAGGGTCTGGGCACTGGTTTGTCTCTGGAGGATGGAATCTGCATGAAGCTGCAGCATATGAGCTTTACCCACAAAAGACCACAGTTTGTTTTATCAGGAAGTCTGGTCATTGCGGCAAGATGAGAAATCTAGAGCAAATCACTCGACAATGTTCAGTGAAGGAGAAAGCACTAAATATACGGCCAAATAAAGATGTCTTCCCTTACCCTCAAACAAGGTACAATCCTTCACATTTTCTCTAAGAATAGTGATCAAGTTGGCTTCTGGGGGTGAGGGCGTAGCGAACATGTGACACACAAATGACGAGCAGTTACTGGGGAGACCAAGAGATCAATTCCATTATGTAGAATGAAAACGTGAACACTTCTATAATTTGAAAAAGAATGTAGAAATAAATCACTGCAGCACAGATGCACTCAATTTTAACTTTTAATAACTAACATTACTGTAGGAAACTTCCCCCCCGAACCAGGAATAGATGCTAATTACATAAAAATATACATATATAAAAAGTCGTTCTCCATTTTCCCAGGAAAAGAACAATTTCTAGGATATTCAAGTGTTTTGTTTTAATCACAAAGTCAGAGTCTTGGTCATCGCATTTATTAGAGCGGTAACTTACATGTTTAAATTAAATGTTGTTAGACAACCGTTACAACTTGTAAATGTAAGATGCCATTGCTGAGTAAATAAGATTCTTCCGAGTGAATGAATGTGTCCCTTCTCCCACCCACGTATGGAGCAGCAATATGGTTAGTTTCATTTTAGGAGTATATGATCTATTGCTGCAAATGCTAGTTCTCCTCTCCCCATGTTTATTCGTGTGTGTGTGTGTGTGTGTGTGTGTGTGTGTGTGTGTGTGTGAGAGAGAGAGAGAGAGAGAGAGAGAGAGAGAGAGAGAGAGTGTGTGTGTGTGTGTGTTGGTTAAACCTCTCTCATCGGGATCAACAGCAAGAGGAGCTGGTTTTGGGCTTGCGGTGCAGACTGACAGTGTCAGTCTGAATCAGATGATCCGACCTATCCTCGGTGGCAAGCACTCTCCGAACCGCTTCCTCAAAGGCCGCTGCCACGTTGGTGGCATCTTTCGCGCTTGTCTCGAAGTAAGGGTAGTCGCCGTTGTCCCTGCACCAGGCTTGGGCTTCTTCCACAGACACCTGCCGATCGTTTATGTCGATCTTGTTACCCAGGATGACAAAAGGAAAGCTTTCGGGCTCTTTAACATCGGCGTAATATATGAATTCTTTCTTCCAGTTATTCAAGTTCTGGAAGCTTTGAGAATCATCGACGCTGAACGTGAGCAGGCAACAGTCAGAGCCCCTGTAAAAGGGCGTCCGCAGGCTTCGGAATCTCTCCTGGCCGGCCGTGTCCCAGATCTGCATGGTCACATAGTGTCCATCTACCTCCAGCTCTTTATTTAGAAACTCCACACCGATGGTATGGAAGAGCTGGGTATCGAACTTATTAGTCACATATCTGTTCATCAGAGAGCTCTTCCCAACTCCGCCATCTCCCAGGAGGATTACTTTAAAGAGTGATGACTTTCCTGCCATTATTAGTCTCAAGATCTCTGACTTCAGAACCCTGTAAAATAAGAAGGTACCATTACATTCCTTCAGACCTGTGCCCTGCTCTACGCGATTCTAGAAACATCAGCATTTGAGGGAAATAAACACAGAGGCCCAGTTGCTTTCTGCACAGAGAATACCGAACAGGAAGAGCTGTCATTTGCAAAGCACTCAACCATGTGCCATGCACTACCCTGCCAGTACTCCCTGCGACACTGGCCAGGGCCAGTCTCGCCTTTCCTTGGGTCTCAGCTGACTGAAGCTGGCACTCAAGGTCAAGTCTGACCCCAGACACCTTGCTCTCGACCTTTTCTCTCTACTCACAATAAGCCCAGCCACCATTTGTTAGAGATGTAGAAAGAGACTGGAGTAGGCATGTCTGGGTGACAACCTCAAACAGCCTTTGGTGACACGGTGACAGACACTGTTCACCAACAGCTTTGCTCTCCTGCCAGGGCTTTTCCCCATGACAACCCGTTTCTTCCAACGCTACCACCACAGGAGCTGGTAACCAGGAAACCAGACACAGAAGCTCACTGATCTGGCAGGGAACAAAAACAAGCTAACCGCTGAGTAAATGAACTCTGTTCTCTTCACAGGGAACACCACTTGGAGTCTGCCAAGATTAACATCAGCAGCAACGGAATCTTAAACATCATGTAATCTAGCACATTCTACCCACAGGACTCATTCTGCCCACTAGTGCTGCTACTTACATGTTTTGAGGGGGAATGAAGTAACCCTTAGATAAAAACAAGGTGCCATGTGTACCTCCTTAGGGCTGTGGTCAGCAAACTGCGGCTCGCGAGCCACTTGCGGCTCTTTGGCCCCACAAAATACCACCACGGCCTGGGCGAGTTTAGTTTGAAGAAGTAGCATTAGAAGAAGTTTGTTTAAAAAATGTGGCTCTCAAAAGAAATTTCAATCATTGTCCTGTTGGTATTTGGCTCTGGTGACTGAGTTTGCCGACCCTGCCTTAGGGGAAACCCTGGGGCAGGATTAAAAACCTCCCTACACCAAAGGCACCAGCCTGTAAAGTGGGATTTCAGATGCTTATTTATAGATGGCTGCTTCTAAGTGCTGTGCCTGTTTAAGCTTCTGTTTTAATTATTTTTTTAAAACATTTTTTTTAATATTTTTTTATTGATTTTGTACAGAGAGGAAGGGAAAGAGATAGAGAGCCAGAAACATCGATGAGAGAGTCATCGATCAGCTGCCTCTTGCACACCCCCTACTGGAGATGTGCCCGCAACCAAGGTACATGCCCTTGACCGGAATCGAACCCGGAACCCTTCAGTCCCCAAGCCGACGCTCTATCCATTGAGCCAAACCAGTCCCGGCTAATTATTTTTTTAAATATATATTTTATTGATTTTTTTTTTTTTTTACAGAGAGGAAGAGAGAGGGATAGAGAGAAACATCGATGAGAATCATGGATCAGCTGCCTCTTACACACTCCCCACTGGGGATGTGCCCGCAACCAAAGTACGTGCCCTTGACCAGAATCAAACCTGGGACCTTTCAGTCACTCTGTCCACTCTATCCACTGAGCCAAACCGGTTTCGGTTGTTTTAATTCTTTATTATGGAAAATTTCAAACATAGACAAAATTTCTAAGTGAGAATAATAAAATGATACCTCATGGACCCTAAAAACCTAGCTTCACCAATTATCAACTTAGGGCAAATCCTACTTCCTCCGTAACTCCCCATTCTCCCTTCTCCCCAGTTACTTTGAATCACACTATACTACTTCGTCTGTATTTTATTAAGTGGCTGTTAGTATATTAAAATGTGTAAAAGAAGACAACCTTTAGAGTGGCAATAAGAGAACCTTCTCCAACGGTGGAAATGTCTCCATCTGTGGCGTCCCATATGGCAGCCACTTGCCCCAGGTAAGCTACGGAGCACTTAGCGTATGGTTGGGGGAGGAACTGAATTTTAAACTGTATTTATTTTGAACTAATTTGAATAACCATATTTAGAGAGCCAACAGCTATAATGGACAGCACAGCTCTAGAATAAAAATGGATATGTAGTATGAGAGGAGATATTGTGAATCCCTCAGTGGGAAAATAATTAAAACATGAACAATAATTGCGAAATTACTAGGATGATTTTGCAAAATCACTGCAGCAAACGTTATCTGGCTAACTCCTATTTATATGCAAATGTTACCCAGGGTAATGTAACTGAACACTTCCTATAACGTGCAAGAATTCTGTATTTCCAGCTACATACTATTCTGGTAAAAGCAGAAGCAACTTCTCTAATTCCAACTGGCTCTTTTAAATTACTCCTATAGTAATTACTGCTATAATTAATACAATCTAAGTTGGCCAACAAAAGTCTGAGGCAATCAAGTACAGACCTCTTGGAGACTTTTATTTTTTATGGATTTCAGAGAGGAAGGGAGAGGGAGGGAGAGAAGAAGAGAGATAAGAGAGTGAATCATGGATCAGCTGCCTCCTGCATGCCCCACACTTGGGATCAAGCCTGCAACCCAGACATGTGTCCCAACCAGGAATTGAACTGTGACCTCCTGGTTCATAGGTCAGTATTCAACCACTGAGCCATGCCAGCCGGGCCCTCTGGGAGACTTTTGACTGCCAAGTGATCACTCTGCCCACTGCCCAGATTAAATGAATGTTAAAGAGGAAATTCAAACATTCTCAAGCCTCTTCATTTCCTGGCATATGTAAAGATGGGCTAAATTGGTTTCTTTGTTTAAATCTCTGCAGTCTTGCTTAAACAACTTCAACTTCCAGAAAAAGAAGGAATAAAACCGCAAAGGCACACCAAATATTCTGATTGAGGGCAAGTATCTGTCCAATGCCCCTCCTTAACATTCTTCGGCAGTGCTCCACAGAGTCAAGTCTGGGTCCAACTTCTAAGGCGAGACACTTGGCCCTGCTCCCCGTTTCCCTCTCGGCTTCGGTCCCGCGGAACAGCAGTCAGATGGAACTGAAATTCAATGCCACTCGCCCAGCTTGGCACACACTGTTCCTTCTGATGGAGATCCCACCCCGCTTCGCCCACCACACTGCTGACCAACCGCTGGGCCCTCAGAACCACTTGGCATGGTCATCAACGCTGAAGCCTTTCCCCAGCGGCTCCTGTCCTGAGGTTGCTCCTTTCACACGCGTAAGCCATGTGAGCACCAAGGTTGCCTGTTGTGTTGAAGGGTGGGACAGATGGGCGTCATTGTAGTCTACCATTTACCCCAGGATTTGAATAGGTCTCTCACTGCCTTCCCAGACACCACGGTTTATTGTTCAGCACTGATGGTTAGAATCTCTACATCAAATTATAACCCAGATTATGCAACCTAACAACCTCACTCAGATGGCTGGCTGTATACATGTATCAAATTAAGTCTTAGAAGTTCCTTGAGACTTGTCATTTATAGTTTTATCAGGACACGTTGACAGTTCTTTTCTTTTTTCGTAGTGCTGTGGGATATCCTAGATTGTGCTCTTATTCTGATGAAACAAATGTGGGCAATGCAAGGCCCACAAGCCAGGCAAGAGGGTACAATGTTTACACTTCCCATCCGTAATTTGGGGCCTCCTAGACATTCTACTTGGGAGTATGTTGGCATTTGCTAAAGCAAATAATATATACACATCTCTCTAATTCTAACTGTAGCATTGTACATAAACATACATGGTGATACAGGTAATTGTATAAACCATCTCATTTCCCAATGACATCTAACAAAAAGCAGCTTCAAGGAATCTATACATTAACATAACCAGATATTAAAAATGTTTCCTTTTCTAAATAAACAGTAAAATCCTTTGAAATCTCTTTAGTTTAAGCTGAATGAATATGGTATCCTGCCACGTTATTGTCAGAACTTACCTTAAAATGCAATATCAAGTCTTTCATAATCCACAGTTTGGAATGACTGCCCAAAGGCAACAATCTTCACCAAGGTTAAAAGAAAATGTTAGCCATTCAGCTAAATTCTGTAAGGAAATCTGCATAAGAAAAGCATACTACCTAGATCCTAAATCTCACCTTAGTTGTTCAGTTCATGCATCATCATTATCTGCAAAGAAAACATTAGAAAGCTCAGCTTAGCAATGTACAGTTGTTTTCATAATTTTAAGAGTAAACATAAGAATTAAAATGTGAAAGAAAGAGCTGACGTCTAGTGGCAGCTGAATTCTTAATTGAAAAGGAAAATCACACCTGAAAGCTGCCCAGGACCTTCCTAAGCCTAAAAAAGTCCTAGCATCAAATGCTACACCTTAAGCATTTAAGTCTTTCACCTGCCAACCGCACTTCTCTCAAGTTTCATGCCCGGGCAGCTATAAAATGCTGTTAAAATGAAATAAATGTAAAATATACCATTCATTTTTCAACAGTTGCTCAAATTTAGAGTAGCTTAGAATAATCATATTCCAGAGAACAAGGAAGTAAGGGCCACTTGAGGAAGGAGCCCCAATGGGACACAGGAAGTGCCAGTCTAAGGCAGCAAGGAGTGCTGTGAAGCTTCTTTCTGGGCAGCCTAGGCCAAGGTGAAAACCTCGAAGGAGAACAGGTTCCTGGTGTCAAAGGCCAATTCAGACCAACTGACAAGCTACTTGACACCCTGAAACTCATCGGACAATGTGACAGCAGTACCTACCTCGCAGACTCTTGGGAAAATTCACTCAGACGAGGACCACAGGGGAAGAGCGAGTCACCACTGCAGCAGGCTCCTCACGGGAACGCAGGAAGTGTCTGCGGAATGAACACAAGAAGTCTTGACTGGCAGTGTCACAGAAAGGCTTCCGTGGTGGCCATTTCTCCAGTGCGCTTTCAGTAAGAGTTACGGGCGGGTGGAAGAGTGAGAGAATTACACAGGCAGACACAGCAGGAAGCCAGAGGATCCTAGCGCTAAGGATCAAATTCAACGTGAAGGTTTCGCAGTGACGAATGCGGAGCTGTGCTAAGGTACTAGCCATTCTCTGCCTAAACCAATGGTTTCAAGCCCTC